ATATGATATCATATGTCCCTGAAATTAAATCAATTATTTCCTCGGTAATCAGGAGGACGATCTGAAGGCCACTTTGGAAGAATCCGCAGCTCTGCAACGTGCCTATGAGAAATATATCGACCTAGTAATTGTTAACGAGGACTACGACGATACTTTCAGACAAGTGGTCTCCGCGTTAGACGCCTTAGCCACGGAACATCAATGGGTTCCCTTGAACTGGATCTACTAGATCGAGAATCTCGATCATCAAGTGGTTCCAAACAATGTACACGGAATTGCTCGCGGCTTCGAACATGTTTGTGCATAACTGTGGAACACGCGAGATCGACTCCGCTGATCTTACCGTCACAACCGGTGTTCGTGCAAGCTCGACATCGAGTGCATCGTTATTGCAATTGTATTTATAGCATTGTACCGCCGTGCAATACAGCGATTTTATGGTCGTATTAAATACGTGTATGTTTGAGTTTCTTTATAGCGTGTCGTGTATATTGTTGAACGTATAGATACTTTTAAATTAATGACGCACTCGACTAGGGCGAGGAGGAAAACGACGAGTATGTATACATGCAGACGAGCTTTTGTTTCTTCGAACGAACGGATTACGATTCTGTTCCCAAGGCGAAAGCTGTTTTGCCCGTTTGCTCTCCTGCCTACGATCAGAAAAATACTCCGGGCTACGAACGCCGACGGGAGACGGCGCCGATGTTTCGCGTCACGACGTCATTTTTTTACCAAGTACAACCGCGTACCGTTTATGTTCTCTTAGGTTTTATAAAATGAGATCCGTTCGTCTGCTAAATTTCCGTACAAAAGACTCGCGCACAGGAAACGAATCACGGAACGTTCATGGGAATGCGATCGAACGAGTGAAATAATAGGGGAATAACAGGGAATTAGAAACGCTTCGTCGACACAATTGTTTTCCCACGCAAATCATGCCGATTTTACATTCCCATTTTTATTGTTCGGAACCGAGAATAGAGAACGGGTTGCGATTAATGTAAGCATTAGACCGCCGTCCAGTTAATTTTAGGGTACTACTGCCTAGTTTTAATCTTTCTTCAACCCGCATACATGTATGTACGTTTCATTTACAATTTATCGTAGAATCCACTTTGGTTTCTTTTATAGCGATACTTATTATTGCATATACGTATTATACATAATGTACTTGTACTGCATCCTGTTTGTACCGCTCGTACACGCTGAACGTAATTCCTGGCATAGAGTGCCTTAATAGCGCAAGCCCTTTAAACGGCTTGCGGCGAAGACCTACTATGTCGAGACGAGATAGATATTCTCTTATAACTCGAGTTTTACGTAAGACACGTATAATAATCATACGGTTTTTCTAATGCTCTAACGCGTCCGTATATGGAAACACATCCAGTTGCTTTATAGGCGCCTGGATGGAAGGTTCGAATCGTGCGATGTGACACAAGAAAAAATAAAGTTTATCGAGCGTTTGTTACGAATCGGAATCATTGATACCTTATCATCCCTCCTGTCAACCCTTCGTCTGTGTTTTGGATCGTTTCAATCTGAATTGCTATATATACCTCGTNAAGTAATATAAAATAACTCCTGCAGGTTGAATACAAATTCTTTATACCTGTTATTCGATTTTTATAGTTAAACAGAATTACAGGCCAGCTAAGTAGTTGATAACGGGAACTTTGTTAGAATGAACTGGTTTAAATAAATTTGATGAATGAGCGTGAAAACTGATTGGTCCTAGGATGCAGTGAATGCACCGGGAACGACCAATCGCAAGCTGCCGTCTGCCACTTTTCAGGGTTTGTCGCGTTGTCACATATGAGTTGCGGGAAAAGTCAGTTCGAGCACGGTTTTTAGCCGTGTAGGGTGTTGATGACGTTTATTTTTACGATTCGAACATGGAAGTATTACGGAAATTAGACGTGCACCCAAAGGTGCGGGAGGAGGCAGATATTCTTGTGCGAACTTTTAGTGGTGCCGTTGGTAAAAAGATATTTTACGTTGTTGCGAGAGGTTCACGCGTGCCGATCTCTCGGTTTTTCAAACAGCTTGCGATACACCTTCTCCCGAACATGCTATCTCGTTAGGATCGTCATCAAATCATTTTTCAATAATTCCTTCATGCACTTTGGGTCGTTGTTTTTGAGATAACTTATAATGTAAACAGATGAGACTAACCTCAAAGCTAGGCAATTTTAGGAGTTCTCTTTGTTTCTACATGCTTTCAGTTGATTATTATCGTTCGTTATAATTTTTAGAACATACACTTTGCTTTTTATGTTCATAGTTGTTCAAATTCTTTCCCAATCTTATCGCAGTTGTTCACACGTGACGTTAAACGTAAATGTTTTATAACTTTTGTTTACCGTTCGTGCACCATTGCCTGTGATTTCAGTGACAATTGTTAGTACGATTATCATGGGTATTTTGTTTCTATCTGAAGTGAATTACTACCTTACACCAACCTTGAGTGAAGAACTATTTGTAGACACTTCGAGGGGATCGAAGTTGAGAATTAATTTAGATATAATTGTTCCAAGAATATCTTGTGATCGTAAGTGTATAATCACTTTGTGCACTCAAGTGATGATTATGACAGATATTTTTAAATTATCTACATTTTAGATTTATCGATAGATGCAATGGATACCACAGGTGAACAGCATTTCCAAATAGAGCATAATATATTTAAAAGACGCTTAGATTTAAATGGGAAGCCTATAGAAGACCCACAGAAAACAGGTATCAAACTATTTCAAGAGATTTAACAAGAACATAAATGAACATTTTTTTACGTTATTGTAGATATTACCGATACAAAAGCGCTTGTTCAAACAACAATAAAGGTAATTGAATTATTTGCTATTTTCTTCTTAATCTATACTTAATTTAAAAGATAATCTTTCATAGTCCGTGGAAACAAGTAGTACTGAAAAAGTGTGTGGGGATTGTTACGGAGCTGCTAGTGAAGATATCAGGTATTATATTAAAGAAATGTGATGCATGTATTTATGAAAACTTTCGTACAAATAAATTGATTTTATAGATGTTGTAATACTTGTGAAGATGTGAGAGAAGCGTATAGAATGAAAAATTGGGCGCCTCCTGATCCAGGGAGAGTGAAGCAATGTCAGAACGATAAATATATAGGAAAAATGAAAAATGCCTTTACCCAAGGATGTCAAATCTATGGTTATATGGAAGTGAACAGAGTTGGAGGAAGTTTTCACATCGCACCGGGAGATAGCTTCTCTGTTAATCATGTACATGGTAAATACATTAATGTCTCTTACTTAAATTGAAATTTTCACATAACGTTATATCTTTGGATTCTTGTTACATGTTCATAGTGCATAACGTTCAACCGTATACTTCGACGCAGTTCAATATGACCCACAAGATTCGCCATTTAAGCTTCGGATTGAACATCCCAGGAAAAACGAATCCTATGGATGATACCACAGTAGTAGCAATGGAAGGTATGCCCATGCTCCATAGAAATATTTTATTAAGAAATCAACAGAATATTCAGGTATTACAATCCTTTGCGTCCTAAACGTCAAACACAACAGTCTTCAAGTACTAGCATCTTATTCCAGTTCCTATGGCCATAAACGTGCCAAATGTCCCACCACCTTGTATCATCACTTTTCCAACATTGTTTATCAGTTCCCTTCCCCTTAATCCGTATCTGGCAATAAAGACATGGTTACTTTTTCATTCTCAATTCATTCTGTTCAACTTAGCTTGCGACAGATATAATATCTACCTAAGTGCTGAGAATCCCCCGAACAGAGCACCTGACGCCATTCCAACACAAAATCCAATCATAAAACCAAGTTTCATCCTATCCCAGCATGAAGGAGCTTGTTGATACACTCCTGGTACGACCGGCATTTTATTCTACGGAGACAGTTTTTTGTAAAGACAGACGCATGTTAACCTATATTCTTTTTCTCGATCGTTGTTTACTGTTTCATAAAGACTGTCCCCTATTTTTTCTAATGAATACAGAAACTATCGGTTGAATTTCCGACACAAATGTGCGGATCAATATTTGACGTGTTTTAAATTGATATTACTAAATAATCATCCCCGGCATAGTTCAAGATTTCAGATAAATCACGAACTCGTCCCTTATTAATTAACAAATTCACTCACGATTCAAGCGTCCTTAGAAACTCGTGTTGCGTTTTCTCGTTTTATTACGATACTTCGTGTTTTACAACTCGTAAATCGTAACCACAAATAAGTTCAACACATTACACCAGCAAGGTAGTATAAGAAAATCGGCGCCATGTTAGTCTCTTCGGGTAGAATGCAAATGTGTGGCTTGCTCCACTTCCGCTTTCCGCTGACGTCACTTCCCAATGGCGGTGCCTTACGAATTGTTTCGCGCGGCGCAGCTCGTTCAATACTTTTTTACTTTTAATTTTGAAATGTGAAATCGCCGCGCCGCTCTTCCGTATGCTCCCGCTGTTGAAATGCGTGCCGTTAAGATTGAAGTGTCATGCGAGCGTTTCATTGTTTCAGGAGCGATGATGTTTTATCATTACATCAAAATTGTGCCAACAACCTACGTGCGCGCCGATGGTTCCACGTTGTTGACGAATCAATTTTCCGTGACTCGGCACGCCAGGCAAGTGTCTATGTTCACAGGCGAGTTAGGAATGTCCGGTATATTCTTTAATTACGAATTAAGCCCGTTGATGGTCAAGTACACGGAGAAAGCGAAATCCTTCGGCCACTTTGCGACGAACACGTGCGCGATCATCGGTGGAGTGTTCACAGTCGCCGGACTGATCGACTCCTTGTTGTATCATTCACTTAGGGCAATACAGAAGAAAATCGAACTAGGAAAATATAATTGAAGTCTTGTGCGGAAAGTATTATAGGATCTAAATATTTTTTACTACTGCTGATGATGACGATTTGAAGTAGGCATCGAAAGTATTGCAAAAACAATGGTCTAATAATGTTTTATATGGTATCAGGTGCTTTTGCCTCAGCTGATTTAACAATTTTCTGTGAATTATGAAACTGTACATAGATATACCGAAGATGTATGCAAGAAGGTCTGATGTTATAATATAAGAAGAGGATTCTAATATTTAAGTATACAATAAAGGTCTCACTGCTATGGAAAAAAGGCTGAATACAGACGTTTACAACCTAATAATCTTATATTTATTTCGTTACATCTAAAATGATTTTAAAAACTCGTTGTAAGTGTGGATAGAAATTTTCGCGATGTTTTTACAAAACTCTACGTCGCTTCCTTTGACCAAAGTCAATGGTGAAATGTATAATGGTTTTTGGGGATCGTATTGATTCCTTTGTAATTGCACTAACAACTTATGTCTCCTCTCGAGTCTGGATTTTCTGCAGAGCAAGACCTGTGGCTCTGAACAAATAGCAGTATGTGATAATTCCATAGAGTTGTGGAGGTAATCAAAAGTCTTCACTACTTCTGTCCTTGCTAAAATTTTAATAAAACGTATTTTCATTTATGCAAATAACAGACGAAAGTACATTGCACTTAGTATACGATTCATTTTTCTTACCACGGATCCATACACGTGGTGCTTTGAGCAAAACGATCTTCGTTTCATCCTTGTTAAAACCCATTTCCTCTTTCACAGCAAAAGTGCTATATCTTATTCGATTCATGTCGTATGTTATAAGTTTTGGACACTGAGTGGTCAGGCACCTTATTTGATAACCATTTAGATCAAAGGTATGCTGAAAATGACCTAATCTATGGTCCAATTCCTTTGTGTCAAAGGACAACCAAGGAGGATGCTTATTTACTATCTCTTTTACCATGTCTTGACTGAAATTATGAGCCCTTAAATATCTTATCCTTGTATAAAGATCATCCATATCTTCCGTGAAAATTCTTGGATTTCTAGTAATAAAGAATCCTAAATTCTCTGATTCTACCCCGCAATCGTGTAAAAACTGTATGTACGGTTTCATATCTCTGTCGAAATCGAGTTTTAAGAACAATTCCACTATTTCTCTGTCCGGCTCTAATTTGTACAATTCTACTCCCAGTTTTACTAACTCCTGAAGTGTGCGCGACTGATCCGCGAATTTCGCGAAATTGTACGTCGGCATTATGTTAGGAACGATATGAGATAAGTCTTCATTTTCGCAGCGATCAAACGGTCCTGGTAATTTTATATTTATATCCTCCAAAGCGTCATTCAACTCGTGCTCGTTAGTTTGTAGTAATTCCATATCAGTCCTCTGCTTCAGTTCACTCTGTATTTTCGTAACACTACTAGTGTTATTATTTCCATTGCATTCTGTTGCTAACCTCTCTGAACTTGTATCATCCTGTGCGATGTTCTTTAATAAATTACGTGCATCAAGATTATTGTCACCTGTTGTTCTCTGCAGTTTATCTTCTGGAGAACAACCGAAAAGTTTGGAGCTTCTTGAAACGTTTCGAGGAATTAACTTTTTGATCTCACTGACCCTACGTCGGGCAACAGTTAGAATCGTATAGGATCGGGAGAACAACATATTTAAACAATATTTTACGCCTCAAATTTATACAGAATTTACAATTTAATTATTAACGAGAAACAAATACTATTAATAAATACATATTAGTGAATAAAGCCACAGAGAAGACAATAATATCCACTGCAATCACGCTTCAACTCCAGGTGCAGTTTGGGATGGAACCGATGGAACTGAATGTACTTACCACACACCGACTAGTGCTGCCGGCTTACCCGAAGTAGCTCGAAGTTCAAAACGAATAGAGACGCGGTTCTTTCTCCAGACCACTGAGGAGAGATTACTAAAGAATTCTGAGATTTGTTTCCATTGATTCATTAATGAAAATTAAATCAGATATTTTCCATATTTCAACATTTGTCAGCGTATACATGAAAGTACTAAAATGCGATGTAACACACGTCTCTTAAGTTTCATTAAGATATCTATCCTACTTTGTTTAGGACAGTGTCCTAATTATTTGGTTGAAGAGGAATCAAGAAAAATGTTTATTGAACAAAGTTTTTTCATCCTAACTTGAAAATGCTTTGGACAAAAGTTGTAGCTGTAGTTGTCAGACACAAGAAAAGTTCTATGCAATTTCCTTCTAATTTGAGTAATAGAATCGAATCGACTATTCAAGCCAGGCATAACTCGGCCCATTTTTTTCCAAAAACTCGAATAGCTCTGATATCAACGTCTGAAGCAAACGATCTGACTAATGATTATTGATCATTAGGCTTCATCTGATCAACGTTGCGAAACGTGCCGCCAGGCAGTACATTTCAGTGGGGGTCGTCCAGTTTGGTACTGTTCTGGTGGGGAAACGCACCTCGGTACCGTTGCAGAACTCTGCTAATGATAACGATACCACTCTGGACGTAATCGTAGCCTTACAACGAATGGAGCAAAAGATGATTTGCGATTCCACCTAAGCATGTATAGTAGTTCGCGGATCGACTTTGCTCCACGGAGATTGCCTCATACATGGCATTGACCTAATGAAGTTATCATTCACGTCACGAAACTGTCCTCGATACCCACCTACGCCCGAACAAACTTTATCTCCGCGTGCAGATACAACTCCATGTGTCAGTTTATCGCTGCCTCGCGAAACTACGACGCTAATTGACCGCGAAATATGCGGAACTCGATTGTAAAATAAAAACTCCATCTCTCGATTAAAGCGAAGTTGAATGATTTTGAAATGCGATGTATCAAAACTCTTCTAATAATTAATTCACGCACACAATAGAATTTTAAATATTCAATGTCTGTCCATTTTCGAAGGCGAGAGATCATTTTTATAATTAACGAGATCCGATAATGAGCGATAAGACGCGTTTCAAAGTTAAAATAGATTAAAGAAACATTTACGAACCGAATTGCGTATCTCTTATCGTTCTCTACGTGAAGTGGAAGCAAGTTTCCATAAGCGTTCGCGTAGCAATTGAAAGATTGCTGGGACGGGAGTATGTAATCACGGTGAGCGTTGCGACACGAATCGCGTTCTATTGTACTCTTACAGAAACCAATCCAATTTCTAGAGCACTTCTTGATCGGTTTGCTAAAGCCTAAATGATTTCGTCTCATGTGCTTCATTCGTGACTTATGGTTACAGAACGCGAACGACGCACACCTACTCGGATTAAGGTAATATTAAACACGTGACGGTGTGAAGATCGATGACTTTTTTTTATCGACAATCGATTCACGTGTCTGAATGAAAATAAAATTGGGATTAAAGCCTCCGTTCGATCTATCGAGTGAGAAATTAATTCTGAAACTTATCAATCTATTAAAAAGTTACGTAGGTAGTAAAATTCGAAATATTTATTCGGCCGTTAATTCGTTGAACTAACACCGTTTTCGAAGGACACTTCACAAAGCGAATGACAGCGGGAGCAACGGTTAACGTTCGTTATCGAGTTACGCAATCGCTCTTCGTTATCGGTTCACCAAATAATTTCAACTTGCAATTTCGCTGGTCAAGGGCGCGCTATCTTTTGCCTCGTAGCTCTGTTGTTTCGCATGTAATCGAATAATCGTCGATGCTTGCGACGTTGTCGATGAAGCGTTGTCGTTCGACAACCGCGATTTACAGCGGCAGAATTTCCAAGAGCGAAATTTATGCGCAAAGTTATTGACAGTGCGGACCGTGAATCAGGATTATTAGTGACAGCCAACGACGGTGAAAGAATGTGAAAACATCCGCGTGAACGAGGCCCTTGGCCAGATTCGAGAACGACGATGATCCGTTTCGATTTTTCATCGTTTTTAAATTTGTTCCGACGTCGGTCAATCGGCGATGGATTTTCGAAATTGCATGTAAGCGCTCGAACTTTTTAACGATCCTCGTTGTATTGCTTTCGATTAACGAAGATTAATGCGCTCTTCATATTTTCCAATTAAATACTGTGTTCAAAATGAAAGAGATAAACCATGCGATAAACCATAGATAAGCTATCGATATTAAAGAAACATGTACATTAACTTTTGCAACTTCGATTTTCAACTCGAATCCCAGTCCTAATTAGAAGATTATCTCTGGAGAAACAAGACTCCGTTCACTTTCTATCGTACAAATGTACTGCAGAATTGAATCACTGCACGTTCTTAGAATAGATCATGCTAATAAATGAATTGACTGACTCCAAGGTCTTTTTGTTTTACTTATTGTTTACCTGCATCCTTTCCAATACGAGAAACTTTTACGAACAGAAGGAAGACAAGAATCTTATCGGTAGATACTGAGGAGAGAATGATTAATAAAGTTAGGAAAGAGGAAAAGTCGGAGATACCGGGTATGCCCCGGTGTCGTCAGAGGTGGGAGCGTTCGTCGCTTGTGTCAAGCCGGAGAAGTTCGTGGATGGATCAGTCGGTGTTCGACGCACACCCGTGACATCCATCGAGCCGCGGCGATCTCTCGATCGTCACTAACTAAGAGGAGCCAGTCGAGCGACGAGAAGACAGATTAACGAGGCGGGATTGTCACCCACGTGGTTTCAACATGCAGTGGAAAGGGGTAGGTTATCGGACAAGGGTCCTAGCGATCAGAGTCATTAGCGGGAATGAATAATGACCGAGATCCATCCTTTGTCCCTATCAGTTAGAGGTGGAGGTCACCGCTAATTGATTTGAGTTTTGTTCCTCTTCGATCGAGTAGAGTCTCGTGATACGTTTACTATGTTTGTTTGTATAAACCTGATATAATAAAAATCAGATTTTTTACTGAAATTATCTATTAGAAAAGATACATACAGGGTGTCCGCGCCACTTTGCTCTTCACTTGCGTATGTCCGATTATGCAGTTCAGTTTTTATTGTTTCGATTTCGTGTCGGTTTAACAGTTTCCCGAGCGCTATAAATGACTTTACGGGCATCACACGCGTAGCAATAACAAAAAACACTACGATCCGCATTAAACGTGAAACGTTCTGAAGATAATCGCCAATTCTGCGATTTAATGAGTCGACCAACAGGCACTCCTCGACTTCCGTTACATTCCAGTATCGATTCGGCAGTCGTCCCTCTTCTCGAACTGTTTTCGTTTCGCGGATGGAAAAGTTTCACGGGTCTCGATTTATCGTCAACGATGCGCTCCTTTCCGGAGGAACAAACACGCGGAGAACGGGCCCGGAAACGCGAAAATACGACACGGCCGTGAGAAAACGCGGCGGTAAATCGACAGATTCTGGTCCTCTTAAACGACGGGCGTCATTTGTGTCGTAAATGGAATTCTAATGGCCCAGCAAGAAGTTATGAAAATCCCTCGGGAACATCTTTCTTGTATGCTCGAAGTACCCAGGTGAAAATATGAAGATCATTCGTGTACGCCTTTTTATTAATTGGTTAATTGCGAACTTTTATTCACACATTAATTCATGTTCGAAGATTTAATTTCAAGATGCAGGACTCATTGTCGGTTCAGTTATTTATATATTTTCACGAATGATAGATAGAAATAACGATTTCTTTTAACAGTGAACGTTAAGCACTCTCAGCAATCGTCTCTAAATTTGATCGGGTCTGGAAATAAGAATTCCGCCAACGTAGTGTAGTATTGCTCGCGAAACGCTTTTGCTGACCGTTGATCTCCCGTGCTTCGAAAGATTCACGTGCGTCTGTGAAATAGAAAATCCCTTCGCAGCTTGTCCGACGGTTTTCCCATTTCACTCGCCCCAATCAACCCCTTTCATTCGAAAATCTCTGATTCTTAGACACAGGTCAGTTTCTAATTCACGAGACTGGGAGGTAACATCGATGCTTCGCGTCCCGGTCCTTCCGTTTCCACCCACGTTCTCGCGTCGCGAACTCGACGGGCTCGGTCTTCAAGTCGCGAGAAGTTTAAGCGAGCACGCGGTCATTTCCCAGGCACGGGTGAGCTTAACGAGCCCGGTCAGGAGTCAGCCGGCAGTTTCGCGACAGCGATTTCGCGAATTTTACTGGCAGGCCTCTCCGAAACTTTTATGCGTCGCACGTGTTCCGCTTCCGGCTTTAACGAACTGGATCGATTACTGCATTAAACAATCTAGTATACAATTACATTTTAGGTGCCCGACTATTTATACCAAATTGTGGCCCTCTTGAGACGATTTACCTCTTATCTAAATTATTTTGTTATACGATACACGATTTATGAATAATTTGCATTTATTGATTAAGCTCAGTCACTCTGTGCATATACGAAATCTATTCATATTACATTAAATAATATTACATTATGAATCCATAATTTATTATAATTAAATTATGGATTTCATGCATGTATATCGAAATTTAATTTGCAGAAAATATAAAAAGTGCATGTAATGTCTAAACGTTGAGTTCACGTCAGAACGATTAAACGATAAAAATAATTGTATGAAAATTTCACTTCTCGAATTGATACCATAAATCATTTTGCACAAATATCTGTAGTCTTATTATGACATGTATAATCTGAAGATAAATTCATCAGACGATGCAAATGTGTATGTTTTCTTTTATAAAGGAATGACTAACATTATGTCATTTCTCATTATTTTCCTGTTTGTTGCACGAGTCAAAGGAAAAGAGATGAAGAAATTCTAGACACGAAGATTCCGTTTTATTCTTTTTTCACGGTTACGTCTTTCAACTAGAACGAAATCTTTTCCAGATACTGCTACAGCTGCTGTTGCTGCTGCACGGATCCCTGGTCGTCCTTGTTGCTGGAAAATCCAGTAAGTCTTCTGCTTCTTTGTCCCCGAGAAGGATAATCGCGCTTTCGTTAAGCTGCTTTGGCACCGGACCTTTACCGGATGCCCTTAGATCGATGGAGAACCGGACTAATGCTCTTCGTCGATTTGCGTTGCTTCCCGGCAAATAAGTTTAATTGTCCTACTCTTATCTCTGCGTAATTGATATCACCATGTAAACAGTTTCACTGCTAATAATTGAGTGTCTTGCATTTTTATAAGCTGAAGAATATTTAATCCTGTCCTCGTTCATTTGGATCGTTAAATGAGTAAAAATCGAATAAATCTTTAATTAATCTGACCCGACTAGACTTGAATCCAACCATTTTCACATGCATGTAAATAACAGTCTCCTGACAATGAATCATAGTTTTCTGTTAACAACCACGTGCGACCTAACGAATGAATCCGCGATTAATCAACCGGTCTTTACTAAAAGAAGCTAATTCCAGCCGCAATTAAGCGGCAATTAATCCAAAAGTCTTTTCCTAATTATTTTATAATTAAGGTGGGATTTCTTATACGCGTCACGCGTAATTATTTTGCGTTCAGTTCTGATGACAAATGGAAATGGCGAGACAGTCGCAAAGCGAAGCGGCGTGACGAGTACACGAAATTCCATCTTCGACTTTGATTTTACCTTTCCTCTTCCGTGCATCTCGCGTAACGCGAAAGACATTTTTCTTATATAGTTAGAAGGGTGATCGACACAAAAAGATTGGGGGACCGGTATCAAGACGGCACAAGGGTTCCATTTAAGCTCGAGGAGACTTACGATCATAGTTTCCGGGCGAACACTTTCAATGGTACCTGGCGATCGGGCAAGGATATCCTTTACTCCGATCCGGCAGCCGGTGACGTCCGCGTGCTCGATGTGACGACCGGGACCAGCGTCGTTCTATTAGATTCCACCGTTGCCGTAAGATCTAATTTTTGTTAAACTTATAATCTCAAATTTCTCATTTTAATGAAACTGTTAAGTTTCAAGTAATGAAATAGGACAGATTTTATATGTACAATTATTTATTATCTACAAAACTGCCTAAGACGAAATCATTCGAATCACGAAATGCATAATAAAACTAGAGCACGTTTCACCCTCACACAATAACTTTTTCTATCTTAAACGTTCAAGCGTAAAATGTTAATGGCATTAGTAAAAGGTTTTCCACATATGTTTAACAATTTGTACGAATTCGCTATTTTCAGCAACCGTGTCCAATAATTTTAAATCGGTCCGGCGCTCTCCGTTCAATTATTTAAGTGATTCCAGCTCCCCGATGGTCAGAATCGTTAATTGCCGCGCGGCGGGCTTTCGAGAAATTACGTTTCAATTTCAAGAACAAATTGATCCTATGTTGGGCGCTTTCCCGTACGCCCGATCGTGCAAATAACACGGCCGCCGTTTAATTAATCGCACGGAAATTCTCCGCGGTCCAGCTTCTTAACCGGTGAATTACAGTGTTCACTTCTGGGCGTGAATCAACATCGGTCGACGTTTGTTGACTTAAGTGATACGGATGTTTCATGTTTCTCTTTCCGAGTTTCCTCCGAATCGTTCAACTACCGTCCGAATGCTCCATCGAAATACTTCTCATTGCACTTTATAGGAAATAAAACATTTCTAAGGAATCTCGTTTAGTCTTTAAAAATATAATCCGCTACTTACGAACTTGAAACATTTTTCTACTTAATACAATGTAAATACATATGACTCACTTGCAATAGTGTTTTTTAAGTTAATGTACTACAGATTCATTTGTTAACGCATAGATATTAGATTAACGAGAAGTTGATATTGACATTGTTTCAGTCTGATTACGACAAACCGTCGGTGACATTTTCTGTCAACAACTCGTTCGTTCTGATTGGGTATGATTACATCAGCGTAAGTAAAGACACTTTATTCTTACTTTTTAGAAGATTCGTCTAAAATTAAGTCTATTTTATCGATCTCCAGGGTTTCAGGTATTCGATATACCAAAGATGCGTTGTGTATAACACCAGGACCAGGTATGCAATTCTGTTAATAATTTTAACTCGCACTAAAATAAATTACAGAGTAACGAAATATTTGTTAACATTTATAATGTATTTATGAGTATTTTATACATTTCACGGGGAATATTTCACAATTTTATCTTATCGTTTACATTCTATTTGGATTCGACTTTCTTTTCTTTCGCAGAACGTACAGAAAGATCGCAAATGGCGATCGTATACCTCTGGCCAAGTGGTCGCCCACCAAGAACGCTTTGATTTATATCCACGAAAATGACATCTATTACGAGGTGTTCACCGACGCAGGCAGCGAAGTTCGAAGAATTACTAACACTGGTGTACTCGATCAAATTTACAATGGTATACCTGACTGGGTTTACGAAGGTGAGCAAAGAAATGGCAGAAGTGAAAAACATTCTAATCTCCTGCGATCGAAACAAGATATTGATTTCATTAATCTAGATAATGAGGACAATTTGTTAATGTATTATCGTTTTATAGAGGAGATATTAGCATCGCCTTTGGCTCTCTGGTTTTCTCCCGACGGACGACACCTCGCCTATGCAACTTTTAACGATACTAACGTGAAGGATATGGTGATACCGGTGTATGGACAGCCTGGAAGCTTGGAGGATCAGTATCCAAAAGAAATGAAGATCAAGTATCCGAAGGTAAGCCAACTTTTATAATTTTCTTAACAGGGGTATTTCTTGAAACACATAAACCTGAGAAATTAATCGAATCTAGTAATCGTTACTATTCGTTCCTTATCCAATTTGTTCGACTCGAAGGTTTGACCAGATTAGGATGCTCAGATTGCCCTTATGGCCGAACGCTGGCCATAAAAGGGGATGAAAAGTGTTATCTCACGATGGTTCTTCCGTTTAACCCCTGCTTGTCTCTTGTGAAGCTAGTTTATTCGTTGACGTATCGACAAAATCGTGGGNGTCCAAACCCAACTGTCTCGCTCAGCGTTATCGATTTGACCGACCAATCCTCAAAATCGGTAAATCTCGAAGCTCCCATCGATATCGTCGGCGTGTGAGTATCTTTAAAGTTTTAATACTTTTTTGTCGTGTTTGTGACATTAAGCAAGTCTCGCTTTGTATTACTGTTTGCAACACGGCTAACGGATGATACGGTATCTTATCTAACACCCAAGTTAATCTGTTTTCGTGACAAGTATTGCAGTCATGGAAGCTTGATTATATAATGTTTACGACAATAAGTAGAACATTTGTAAATTTATCGATCACGTGCTGTCGCTTGCTCTCCCATCTGTTTCATTTAATAAACAAATTCTGACAATAGTTACCGAGACCATCATAATTAAAAGCATAAATTATAAATTATTCATTTTTTATCGATTTTCTTGAAAATAAATATTCTGCGGTAGGGAGAAAGTCTTATACACCGTGAACTGGAGAACAGATGACCAAGTCGTAGTTACCTGGACGAACCGCGTGCAGAACCGATCGCAGATAGTACTTTATGACACAAAAGGCAATGCGAAGAACATTCTTCACCAACAGGAGCCTGAAGGCTGGCTTCGTATCCAAACACCTGTCTATCACAATCAATACGTGATCGTCGCGAAGCCGCAAGATTCGAGAACGAGAGCCGGACTGTTTCAACATGTGACCAGGTTCGATTACAAAGATGGACAATTGGTCAATGAGACGGATCTGATGCCGGGCACCAGCGAGGTGATCTCCATTTTGGCCGTGGACCATGCTAGGGAGAGGCTATACTACTTAGCCATCGATCTCGAGTCTACATCGCGTAGACATGTGTACTCGGTGAAGCTGCAAGGCAACGAGCCACCCGTGTGTCTGTCGTGCAACGTAACCAGTCCCGAGGGTGCGTATAATTTTGTTTTAATATCTTTAAAAAATTTAATCATTTGCAATCTTAAGGGTATTTATTCACGTTATCAACAACGATAATATTTTATTAACTCTTAAATGATTTAAAAATCTGGGATGCAGTTTTACTCCACTAGAATACTGACATTAATCGTTTTTTTAATGACAGTGTTTACGGGTTGCGATTAAAGAATTGTTTAATTTCGTAACAGAAGTTATGGTTGCTTTACAGGAAACCCGTGCACGTATGCCTATGCGTACTTCTCGACGGATGCTTCCAACTACGCGTTATCTTGTTCCGGCCCAGACCCAGTCCACATTACGATTTGGAACGCTGATCACAAACGATTGTACATTTGGGAGGAAAATCGGGAGTTAAGACGAAAATTGGCCGCTCGCAAGCAACCTATTTTGAAGAATTTATACGTGACAGCGAATGGGTATGAAAGTAGAGTCAAGCTATCCCTGCCTCCCGACTTCGACGAGAAAAAGTCATACCCTCTATTGATCAACGTGTAAGCATTTAATACTATCCACAATCGTTGATATCACAGTTTCCTTTTCTACGAGTCGCAGGAATTTTATTTTATCATTATTCAATTTTCATTTTTCAGTTACGCCGGACCGAATACTGTTAGAATTACGGACGAGGCGACTTATGGTTTTGACTCGTACATAGTGACCAACAGAAGCGTCATTTACGGTCGCATTGATGGACGTGGGTCCGCTTACAAAGGCAGTAAAATGTTGTTCGAGATTTATCGAAAACTGGGCACCGTGGAAATCGAGGACCAAATCGCTGTCACCAAGTATGTAGTACAACGCGTACACGTGTTTAAATTTTACCGGAATTTACTTTTTATTTGCATTCCGACCGCTGCTCGTTCCGACAGTGGTTTTTTTTTTCCATTTTCATAAAAGCAACGGTTTCATGGAAATCGCGAAAATGTTTATACAATTTTTAGAACACTACAAGAGACGTACTCGTGGATCGATGCGAACAGAACCGCGATATGGGGTTGGAGTTACGGTGGTTTCGCCACAGCCATGGTTTTGGCCACTGACACCGAATCAGTATTCAAATGCGGTATATCAGTCGCACCTGTAACCTCCTGGATTTACTATGGTAATCTCGTAATACGTGACGCGTTCGTACTTGAATCGAATCAGTTAGAAATCAGTTGAACCTCCGAGTAAAATAGAAATCCCGAGGAAAATGTGATATTATGTGCTCTATCTGAATTATCTCGAATATATCTGGAACCCAGACTGATGAGTAACAAAAACCAAAGTTAGTTTCTCAACCGTAGATTCCCTGTACACGGAGCGGTACATGGGTTTACCTACTCCCGAGGACAACTTGTCCGGCTACAATCACACGGACGTAACTAGAAGAGTCGAAGGGATCCGTGGCAAAAAGTATATGCTGATACACGGGACCGGCGACGACAACGTTCACTACCAACAAGCCATGGCGCTGAACAAGGCTCTGGTGGAGAAGGACATCATGTTCGAGGAGCAGAGTTACACGGACGAGGCGCACGCTCTCTCCGGAGTGTCCCCGCACCTTTACCACACGATGGACCGATTTTGGGCCAATTGCCTGGGTTACTCGCACGACTACCGACCCTAATTTCCGATTTCTGGATCGTCGAACGCCGAAGGAAAGACGCGAGTCGACAGTTTGCCCGTTCGGCTGTAACCGCCGGTCCAACACTGCAGCCGTGTCGCTTCGTCGCTGGGAACAGAATTTGTGAACACGTATTTACTATAGTTACAAGCTTCGTCGAACCATTGTGTCCCGAAGTCTAATTAGCCTGTGTTGCAACTTTAACGAACATCGACGGAGATCGCGTTGAGAAATTGCGTTACACGATTCGAAAGACAGTGACAGAAGAAGTCTCAGAATTATATTCGTTAAACTCGAACAACTGTTTTCCATAGAGGAATGTCGAGGGGGCAGAAACGGTTAAATCGATTGAATATTCGAAAACGTGTTCATGCGTGTTCCTCGTCGGCACAGATGCGTTGCAAATGCTTCAAAGCAACGACGCCGCGGGTGCATCGATTCTTAAGGGTGCTCGATGCATCTCTGTGGCAGTCAAGTAAGTGAAAAATGGATCGCGTTCACGTTGAACGATTGTACCTCTACGCATTGTTTTTTCTTTTTCTCATAAAGATTCAAACCCGACTGAGCACCGAAATAAAGATTTCTAAAGCCTGTTATCCTTTCAGGATACGGAAATAAAAAAATTATTGAAACAGTTATTGACAAATTTTTATATCAGACAATTATTAATTGTTTTACCAGTGACTTGTATTTTTGTAAACCTTGGTCTGAACGACGATTAATTTATAGATAATAAAGTTTTCGTTTTCCTAAAATGTTCGATGTTTACCTGATCATGCATGTTCGAACGAGTGAGCAGCAATGACACGAAAAATATGAATGACGATGAAAAACGACGCTTGGTTCGCGACGGAATCGTTAACCGTGAAACATCAGATTAAAAGTAGCGGTGCTCGCGAGCCCGTGCGGTCGGGGGCAAAGTTCGCGTATGAAACAGCGTCGATAATCGCGGGAAGGAGAGTTCGAGTGACATCAAACGTTCCGTAATAAAAATGGAGAACGATTCTTCGTCCGTAGGTTTTGTTGGACAGGATCGATCGCATAGTTTCGTACCACAGGTGCGCCGTGGCACTCGTCGTCGGATTAATAGACGATTCGCACGAGTAGTTCCGCGGGATTTGTTGTTTGCACGTACGAATTTCACGACCAGTCACGCTCTCTTGTCGACTCACTGACCTAAAATGCTTTCCATCATCTCTCATCCCGTTGTACACTTTCTGCCCCCAGTTTTATATCAACTAGCGTTTCCGTTGTCCTTCCTATTTCCTCTGCCTGCTTTTACGTACCACGAACATTTCTCAGTTGCCTATTTACCTTCCTAGTACAGTTCTACCATTAATTTTTACTCTGCCTGTCCTCATTTCTTAATTACTCTGAGTACTTACTACGATTTACATACGAATGTTTCTACACGAATTTTTATATTGCCCTCGCTTTATTAAGTTGCTCTTGTATTTCATTATCCTGGTTATTTCACTATTTTTCTTATTTCTTGTTCCGTGCACTTTTCCTAATTATTGCGTAAAATTCTCCGCCTCATCGTTCCACTAGTTTCTTCCGGGTTCTTTCACTCGTACAACGTTCAAGTCATCCGACTTTTATTATTCCTTTTATTCTCAACTCGATCGTTCAACGGTCTCCTCTGCCCAGCCATCAATCTACTTTTTCCCAGTTCTTATCTTACTCTCTCGTTCTCTTCTTCAAGTTTCCATACCTCCTTCCATTCCCACCCTTCCCTTTCGAACTTCGCTCTTTGCCATTTCATCCCTTCGCCTATTTCTACAACAATTCAAGCGGAAAACGGCTTTAGAAAGACGGAAACGAAGTTTGTCATCGTCGGCCTATGTGCGACGCGGCGGCGCGGCGGCCCGACCGATGCCAACTCGATCGTCCGTTTCCGGTCAAAGGGACTTTTGTGCAATTTAATCAGCCTTTTCGGTATCGTTCCTCCCCATCGTCCCGCATCGCGTCCAAGTTCTCTTCGTCGTCGAGCTCGTTGATCTGGAAGCAAGCGATTCGCTAACCAACTGAAGAGAGAAGTTCGTCGAACCGATGAACGTTGTTAAGATTCCGCAAATTCTATTAGATATCTTATTTCCGTGTGACTAGAAATTGCATACGAATAAAGAAAACATTTTGGGATTTGTTAGAATGGAATAATAATTTCTCATTTGTCGTAAAACCAGTCAGTCTCACAGAAATATATCGACTTCTGCCACAGGTAAACGGTAATTACTCTACACTACATACACATAGCCAAGAAGCAAAAGAAACATTAATTTCTTTTTGGCCACCTCGCGTGGAACACTTGGTGTTATTTCTGTGAATTAGATCTCTTTTAGTTCAAAGATAGAAAATCGACTCGGTGGTAAATTAAGGGCTAAAATTACGCAGGCGAATTAACCGAAGGTTAAACAAAAACGGTGTTTCAACCGTGCGACGTCTTTATCACACGGTAACATCGTCCACCCACGCGATGCCGATGGTATCCGATCCTTGGGGTCGAACTGGGCTAAGGACTCGGCTTATCGCCGCCGTACGTGTATACGCACATACCGAAGGCGGTTTAAGTTCGATCTACACGGTGCACCGTTGGACTAGTTCGCCCTCGGGGACAATGCCGCGTAGCAATTCCGCTTGCCCGTCATTCCGACGCAGCTGGGGACGGGATCGTTTAGTTTCGTTCCGTGTAGATCGACCTTTAAGTACCGCACCGTTTTAATAACCATGGAGAACATCGCGAAGGACGAGTTGGCACGCGAGCGGCTCCTCGGAGCGAGTTCCGCTTTGATTTACAATCAGGAATCGTATGTACGTACGTATTTCCAGAGGCCGAATCGAGGTCGCCTCAAAAATTGTTTGTCGACCATCCAACGGGAACGAGCGACGATTTGGAACGATGTCACAAATCAGTGTCGCCCGAATATTCGTGCAAATGTCAACGGAGATGCGCTAATAGGGGATGAATTGCCCCTCGGTGCACGTAAATCTGTTCAAGCTTCGTCTCTGGCAACGGGGAATCGCGTACAACGCCGAGTAAAGATTGCCAATTTCATAGAAATCCGATTATTAACCACTTCCGTTGAAATTTAATCGACGTATGCAATCGTTAATCGTAGTAACGATTTGTTTTTTATCCGAAGTGGTTATCGCGTGTGATGTTATTCCAATTCCAACGAACCGTATTTTCTACCCTTATTCTTCCACTTTAATGAAAATGAAAAAACGGAAACTGTAACTTATGCTTAAGACGAAGTTTATAAATCGTTTTGCATATCCAAGGGTTTTATCCAAAAAGAGGGGGAAGTAACGTAGACAAATTTGCGGTTGGTTTAAACGGTGTCATGGAAATCTGTGCGATCAGCGAAACAGCCATCGATTTGTCAGCCGCGAAGAAGAAGCGAGAAAGAGGAAGAGACAGGAAGTGACGGTGGGATGTAGAGGAAGGAAGGCTGGAGAGACAGTATCCGGTCCCTTTCCCTTGGGCCGCAGAACACGAAGATCGGTGTTCGCGTCACCGATAGCGTTTACGCCGCGATGAAAAGCGGTCAGAATGACAGACAGAGGGAGGGCCATTGTTGCAAGCAGCGGCGGAGGGGCTGACAATAGGGTTGCACCTCGTGCACCTCCACCACATCTCCCGGACTCCAACCGGAACACTTTCACCACGGGAAATAGACTCCGTCTCTTTTGTCTAGTCCCCCTGCCTACGTTAAAATGTGCTATTTCATTCTTTATATTTCTCTCTCGTTTTTAACTATTTTTAATCTTTTCTATTGTCATTGTCTTCCCAACCATTGTCTTCTTTCCATTTTCCCGTGCTTTCTAAACATTTTCTGAATGCGGGACGTAACTCCTACCTCAGTTTAAACTGTTTACCATTTTTCAATTCGTCCCATATTTTATATTGTATTCCATGTAGTACAATTTTTCGTGTTCTCGAACGATGAAGTACGTTGAAAAATTGTAAGATGCACAGTTCTCCGCGAAGTTCTCTTCAAGAAAACTTCAATAGATTCATGGACGTCCTTATGCATTCGCGTAGGATCAAACGCCGCGCCGGTGGAGTTTCCTTCCGCAGAGTGGGAAGAAGTGACATCGCCCAAGTTCTCTTCTTCGAATGCCGTTGGAAGCTTTCAGCGACGTTCAAATATTCACCGGGGTCTACTAATGTTCTACCATCTCTATTAAACTACGGACACAGAGGGTCCAACCTGCCCGAATGCTTAAACGTTCTGTGAACATTATGCGAAACATGCATACAATGCCCGAATTATAAATCCGCTGCTTTCCATTTTTTACTAGGAAGTTTTTTCACAGTTTGAAATCACGATGTACAGCAGTGACTGTATCGTTAATTGAGATCTCATTTGATGGGCGGAAAAATATCGTGAAAATTCTTAATTTACAGGGCGGGAGTTTCAACTAGTACATCGCGTGCTAATTCGGAAATTCGTCTTCAACTCGAGAAGAACGAACGGGAAAACGGCGAACGCGAAGCCAGGTGCCGAGGAGAATATAATCCTGATCACGTGACGGGTATTATCGTGGATGGCGTGACACGAACCCATCAATTACACCGATCCCTCTATCCCGGAATAGAGATAGCCAGCCTTGAACTATAAAACGCCGTTGCACGACTTCCGTTTCGAGGGCCGCCGCGTTCCCGTTCTCACTATGATCGGCTCCCTTGGCTCTTTCCAGCTCGTCATTATCGTCGTTATTCGAACCAAGAGTAATAGAATAGTGGTATTGTAAAGCTATTCTTTGTTTCCCATACAATTTTCACTTTTTATAACTCTCTCTCTTCGTCAGCACCATTTTCGATACATGAAATAAACAATAAAATAAATTGGATAAAATAACATCAAACGTTTGTTCGGGAATATTTTTATAATTGACGTTTTTTATTGTCAGGATATGAAGTCGAATTTATATGGTTTTCGATGTGAAATAGAATCTTTGAAATGTTTCGCGAATCAATAGAGCGTGATTTTTTTTTCTCCTCGGAGATAAAGTTTCAGGGAGATAGAAGCGGAAGGCAGTGCGAAGACCCGTCGAATTGTCGTTAATTATCGAACAGACGAAAATAAATTAACGTTGCGGTAATGGCTTGGTCGCAACCGGACGTAATTACCGCGAACCGGAGCAACCATAATTCCCGTTTACCTAGTTTACCAATTTCTCTACAGAGGGGGGAAGAACATAGGAAGTATTCAAACTTTAAGCAACGTTCGGATGGTGAAAAATCCAAATTACTGAAGATGTTCGTAAAATTCAATTCAGGCAAATTGCAAAATAATTTTCCAAACCAAGGGAATCGATCGAAACATTGGTCTCGAGAATTTCAAGTAAATTCACTTGATATATGATATAAAATTTGTTTAAGTATCAAATTGATACAAGGAACTATGAGGCTTGAAAATATTTCAATCACGATGTTTCGGATGAGCAGCGATTAAAGTCGACGTCGTGATTGGTTCAACGAAGGGGGAAGAGGTATAAAATTATGCGGATAGTATCGGGTAGAAGTGGCTCATTAAATCGCGCTACCGAAATTCGTTTTTAATCTCCTGAGTGCCTGCGCCCTACGGTAGCTCTACCTTTCAATCTCGCGGAACTTTCCACACGAGCCACG